AGTAATTTTTAATCAATTTTCTTAATTTTCTTGTAAAATGCAAAATCAAATTAACAATTTCTTGAAAACTACTGGAGAATGTAAGATAAACGCTACATCAGTTATTTATCTTGGGCTAAAAGAAAACCGATGAATTCCAAAAGATGAATTAAGAATAATTATAGATAAAGCTGTAATTTCTGGCCAAAGTAAATATGCAAAAGGCATATCTCATTATTTAAGAATTTCAAAAATTCCTTCACAGGTTAGTTAAAGCTTAATATAGATATTTCAAAATTTTTATATGATGATATTGTATGATCTGTTTTTAGAGTAGTGCTGAATAAACAGGCTATATTATTTTAGTTTGTTGTTTATATTTTTTCACCTATCACATCAGCCCCCAATAATACTTGCATATAATACGAGAGTGTATATACTATGGACTGTTATGTGGTATTGTAGTTCACTCTACTAACCTATTATATGAAAAGGTTATTGCATGGTCAGAGTGAGTTAAGGTATAAATTATTATATTGTAAATTAGTATCACACAAGGTTTCATCGGCATGATGGCCACACAAAGATGTTAACTTTGCATATGCACTGATAATATATGTTAGTTTTAATGATAAAAATTTTTATATTTTGAAATCTAATATATAGCAATTTTTTTTTTTTTTTAGTTTGATAGTGCTTTCGAAGGTGTATATTCCTTATTTGATATGGGAGCAATTAAAACAGATAAGGAACAACCGTTTGGTTCAAAACAGATTTAAGACAATATTGGGAAGTTGAAAAGGAAACTTGAGAAAAATACCACTAGTTTTTATCAACATTTACTCTTGAAAGTAAATGAAACTTCTATTCAAGAATTAACTTGGAAAGATCCTTTGGCTAGTCAAATTTTTAGAGATAATACCCCAATTATAGACGATTTATGTAAAAACCAAAAAACAAAAGGCCTATACAAAGCATTTATAGTATATATTTATTGTCGTAGATGATCGTGAAATCAGATGATAGTGAAATTTAGGGGTCTCGATTTGAAAATATAAGCCCTACTAAAATCCACCTATACTCTTTTACTAATAACTCTAATCCTAAATCCTAACTTAACTATAAAAAAAAAGCCAACAAAAAAGGCTCCAAAAATTTTTAAAAACTGTACATAAAATAGATCCAAATTTCACTATCATCCGATTTCACGATCATCCGTGACATTTATTATTAAGCAAAATAATTTCTGTAAATTATTTTTAATATTTTTTGCTATAGTCTTTATTTTAGAAACTGGTCAGAGAAATGAAGCCTACACTTCTGTTAAGTGTTAAAAATAGGTGTAAAGAATTTGTATCAAGCTTTTCTGACTATAATTATAGCAGATTTTTAAGCAAGTTTATTCATAATAAGACATGGAAAGAATCTGAAAAGAAAATTTTATTAGTC